GCCAGTGATGGAAAAATAATTCATTAAGTAAAGATCTAGTACTTCCACTTCCAATCTATTATAATTGGCTTATTCTTGGCAATTTTGTGCAATGATCGTTTTGCAGCCTGTATAAGTTTTGGTTATATCTTTAAAAAAAAAAAAAAAACCTGACTTCTTTTGGCTATATGCCTGTTTGTTACTGGGCCTTGCATGTATATTTAGTTTAGTTCTTTGTTTAGTCCTGGAAACTTAGGAGTATATCTTTTCTGTTATTGTGCTAAAGAAGTATAGGGTAAATTTTAAAGATTGAAAAGCATATAGGAGCCATTATTTTTTTTTCTTCTGGTAGGGAAGGTCAGRATGAGTATTATTTCTCAAAATAGTTATTTCTTTGCCTAGGAGAAGAAATACCACTTGCAGGAGCGTGTTGACAAAGTAAAGAAGAAAGTGAGAGATGTRGAGGAAAAGTCAAAAGAATTTGTTCAGAAGGTGGAGGAAAAAAGCATTGACCTTATCCAGAAATGGGAGGAGAAGTCCCGAGAATTCATTGGAAGTTTCCTGGAAATGTTTGGTCCGGAAGGAGCACTGGTATGGTTCTTTCCCACTGGACGATTTGGGGAAATTCAGGGAATTTCAATGTGGAAAGATTCCTTGAACAGAAAGGGACCTCAACATTAAGAACATATCTAATCTGTTTCCCTTTATCTGGGTTTCAACTATTCCACAAATAGTTCTTCAAAATCTTTACAGAAAGAAGTTACACATTTTCCTAAATAATTTTATCAGCCTTCAATCTTGAAATCTGGTGACAAGACAAGCAAGTCTCCTTGCCCAGCTTACTTCTACATTATAGTTTTAAGTGTAAGGAAAGGAAAGAATAAAGAACAGTAAAAAGAAAGCTGCCTTCACTATAAAAAATGCTATGGGATCCTGGGTGAAGTGGGCCTTCTGTCTCTGAGGAACAGCAGAATCTTTTCAAACCAAGCAAAAGATTCAGCAAGTGATGCTAGGTTAGACATCAGGAAAGATCTGACTATGTGGGTATTTGGGAAGGAAATGGGATTTTCTAGAATGGGACTATAAACTAAGTAACCTTTGAAGAACCTTTTGACATAGAAGGCAAGGATTTGGTGACATTGGAAAGCTCATGGAAACTTTTAAATTAATAGAATAGCATAGGCCACTTTAGGGAAGAAGTTGCTTAGAATTGTATCTATGTCCCTCCTCTTGTTTGTTCAGTCATGTTTAACATTGCAGGGGCTAGGTGTTGCTCAGTGGTAGAGCACTTTACACTTAGCATGCATGAGGCCCAGGGTTCAATCCTCAGTACCCACCCACCCCCACAAATGCAGGGAGCACTCATGATAATTCGAAGTCTCAGATTTTCCAGTGGTGATTTAGTAGGATTCRTAAATATCTTCTAACTCTTCCTTTTGGTCTCCCCAGAAACATATGCTGAAAGAGGGAAAAGGTCGGATGCTACAGGCCATCAGCCCAAAGCAGAGTCCGAGCAGCAGCCCTACTCGTGAACGGTCCCCCTCCCCCTCCTTCAGATGGCCCTTCTCTGGCAAGACWTCCCCGTCTTCCTCCCCAGCAAATCTCTCTAGGCACAAGGCTGCAGCCTATGATATCAGTGAGGATGAAGAAGACTAACTTTTCATTCCTCCTTTCCTCTCCCCTCTGTCCCATCACCTTCAGAAGCTCTCTCTTGAATTCCACATTGTGATCCCAACACTAAACCTAAGGACAGCTACAAAGGAAAGACATTTGGGGCAAGAGGAACTGGTAATGGGGGAACCAAAATAGCCCATTTCCYAAGAGACATCAATCACCCACACCAAGGAGGAGGTTGACTACATCTTAGAAGCCTGTTTTGCATCCATCTACTCTCCCCAAGGACTCTGTTTTACTGTTTATGTTCATGTGATCTTGACAGGGAAATTGTCATTTTTATTAATTTTTTTAAAAATTAGTCTTTCAAATATAGTAAGTAGAACTAATTTTTTGCCCCTGAGGAGTGGGCAGAAGAAGGTAGTGGTGTAATACCCAGAGGCCTTTTCTTCTTGATACACTGTAGTGTCTGCCTCCTGTTCTGAAGCAAAGTGGCTTGCCAAATCCTTCAAGCAGTGAGCCATGCTGATGGGCAGTTTGGGGGTTAGGAGGAATATTGTAATTTTGGTTTCCTTACAAAAAAAGAGCAAAAATTGAGCTAGTCACAAAAATCCCCTAAAGGCACTGCTGGCACATATGTCAGCATGGCTGAGGGAAGGAGATCTGAGCCTAACTTTTGTTACTCCCTGAGGAGTTTCTTGTTGGACCCAATGGGGTCCATGAAGACACTGATGGGGATGGAACCAGCCACGTTGTATCAACTACAGTTTTTCTGCTGTTCATCTTCTCAGAAAATCTGTTGCCAAGTAATTTGGGAGTTCTTGTCAGTTTCTTTCCTGCAACTTTCCTTTAAAGGTAGGAACTTTGAGGGTTACTATGATTAGAGAGAGGAATGGGACAAAACTCAATTCTGTATATCAGTTTACATTCATTTCCTGCTGGGAGTAAATTTCTGGCCTTGCTACTCCTTTTTCAATGCTGTTAGCTTTTTTTTTTTTTTTTTTTTTTTTTTTTTTTTTTACAAAGGATGCTTTGTAAATGTCTGCAGTTTGAACTTGATTTGTAAATCCATGTTGTTTACTCCATGTCGAATACTTAGATTTGCACAGAACATAGAGGCAAACACCTTCTTTTCTAAAGCAACAGCTTAATCTTGATCTCTGCCCCTCTTAAGAATGTTCTTAACTAGAACCAATACTCCATGGAGTGTTTCTTTTTCTCTGAGGGCTGCAACTGGCAGGGACTTCTCTTCACCACTCCTCCAGAAAGCTGCCAGCATGGATTTGCTTTATAAGAGGGTGGTTGGTTCTCTTCTTTCCCACCTGGGCCTGGTGGTTATTGCCCCATCTTTCCTGCTTGATTGCTTAGTGGAAATTCAGCACTTGAATTTCAAATAGAGAATGCTGATGTATAACACTTGCTGTAAAACATGATCAATTTTTTTTTTAATCCCCTAGCATCCTATCTCTCTCCTCAGCTACCTGACCTAGCAGACCATCAATCATCAGTAATCCTAGCTGGATTAAGGGGAAGATTGTTTATGACCAGACCTCACCCCTGTCACTCATAAAATACCCCTTGTGGGGGTGGAGTTTTAGTGTTTTCAACAAAGAAAACCACATTTTCTCTTTCTTGCCCTTCTGCTAGGACTGTGAGCATCTCATAGTCCCCTCTCTAAACCCTTTCTGGTGAAGACTGCTCTTCTGCCTGAGGGCCAGAGGCTAAGATCATTGCCTGCCTACACAGCAGGAACCTAGACATATAAATTCAGATCACCCAGACCTGTGGGACATGGCAGAGGAGAGGGACAAAGAAGCCAACTCTTGTCCTGATGGCCCATGGAAACTACATTTATAACTCTTTTCATGAAGTGCTATTTTTTATTATCAACTCTGATTCACACAAGCCTTGACCTAGAATCCTTTCTTTGAACAGTGAAGTTAATGTTTTCCCACATTTCGCAGCTTTATATGATGTCATATTTTAACTTCTGCTTTGGTCTTCCCTCTGGGAATTCCACCGTTTTTGCTCTGCCTTATTCTCCCTGGTATAGAAAGGTAGTGTGAAGGACTGTGAAGTCCCTGCTGACACCCACCTACTTGTTCTCTCAGTGCACATGTTCCCCAAGTATACAGGAATGGAAGGGGAGATAAATGTCCATGATGTGATTTTCCTTCCTGAAGTTCTCTCAGGAATATTGTCTGAACCCCAAAGCTTGAGTGATCCTTGCTCTCAGTGGACTGCATTTGGCATAGAATAGGGCCTCTGGGCTGACATGTCTGTGCCACTGCTAAGCCAGCTTGTGCATATGTTAGAAGGCTCCTTTGCCCCTTTACTACCTTAGTCTCCAGACACTAGCATATTCCAATAATTGGACTGAAAACAAAAACTTTTAAGATGTGGAATGTTAGATATTTTGGGGTAAATGTGATCCTAGGTGCTGGAGAAGGATGCTGTTGGAATGGTGCACTGTTGTGCATTTSTTCCAGTTAAATGAGGTTATGCCTATGATCTGTAGTTCTTCAAATATGAATGCTTGAGTCTGTGGAGCTATTTCCCCAAATTCCACACAAGAAAGCAGTGAGCCCTGATGAACCAAATGTGGCAAAGATGAGACAGCCTCAAAAGATGATTGGCCTGTCTACAAGATAAAAGGAGGCTGAAGACAAGCCCTATAGCTGATGATGAAGGAGGAGCCATTTCAGCAGTTACATTGAGGGTCTTGAACAGAAAGTTTGCTATTTTCACATGCTAAGCTTAGAATAGAGGTGAAAACTAAAGGAACATAAATGGACATTTGTACTGCTGCAGCTGCTTCTGATAGCTAAAGCCAAAGACCCTTACTCTGCAGAGGCTTGAATAAGAAGGTTGGGGATGTAAGAATTGAAAATCCTGAAGAAGTAGTAGTAAAAAAAAAGAAAGAAAGAAAATATGAGGGAGATTGAGAAACTTTTTAAACTCTTTTTGATTGCTGATAATTTAGGCAGCATCTGAGTTACTTTACTTGTGGCCAACACAGCTATTCAGGCACTCCCTAGGATGACCCTCTACAGTGGTTCCCCCAGGACTTTGTTTCTGGGTTATCTTCACTTGTTGGGTAGATTACTTTCTGGAGTTCATTGCCTTTTTAATCCTGTTTTACATCCCTTACCTAAAATCTTTCCAAATTTTTTGCTGCTTTTCTTTAATTCTCTAAAAGCCATACCTTCCAGATTTTTTGCTCGCATATACTCACCAAAATTTGAACCAGTGGGGTTGGGGTTGTGGCTCAGTGGTAGAGCACTTGTCTACCATGTGTAAGGCACTGGGTTAGATTCTCAGCACCACATATAAACAAATAAATAAATAAAGGTCCATCAATAACTAATAAAAATATTTTTTAAAAAGTTGAGCCAATACAGATTTAAAACAAACAAACAAACAAACAATAAAACCTCCCTTAAGTGTTTTAAAAATGAATGGTATTTTTTTTTAAGCTTACCAATATGAGTATTTTTAAAGGTTATATTTTTCACAGTCATAATAACTGTTCTGTTTTCTCTCATAGATTGTCAAGGGATAAAAAGTAGTCCCTGGCTTCTATTTTTCCAAATAAATAGAATATGTTCTTGGGATTATACTCTTTGTTAATTTTCTTAAAAGATTTTTCTATCTGCCAAAGTTTTATGTTGGTATTCAGATTAGGGTAGAAAGAAAAGCTCCAGGTTTAACATTAAGATGACTCAGATTGTGTCCCTTTACATTTGAAGTGGGCCTTCTACCCTCTTTTGGGAGGCGCTGACAATTTTGAACACTGAGAATTGATTGGTTGGAAGTTTTGTGTTAAGAATCCTCAAAAAAAATCTTGGAAAGAACTATCAGTCTTGGCATGAATATCCGCGCCATCACCAGTGTGAGTCTGCAGAGAGGTTTTCCTCAGTCGGGGTTCAGTATATCATCTTCTTGTCTATTATTAACTTGTTCAGTTATTTTGGCTTTTGTCATATAGCCAAATAAAGGCAATGTGGTTTTATATGAGTGTTCCATTTCCTGGGTTTTTGACCTGATATATTTGTGTGTGATGTTTTATGTATTTGGGGGTTTTACTTGTATTTTCAATTCTTTTGCTTTTGAGTCCTAATYTCTCCTCAAAATCAAGCTTCCTGACAATATTATCAGGTGATTACTTTTGCTAATTGGCACAAAAAACTGAAAGAAAACCTTCCAACCATTCACTGGAAGCCTGGCTTCTTTGAGATGTTGGGTTATATTGCCCAGCCAAGGTCTTCTCCTGTTATTATATCAAACAACAACTGTATATTCTTCCTCCTCTCTTCTGCTTTGGAAAAATTCAGAGTGAACTTTCAGCATACAAATTTTCAGGGTTAATAATTAGTGGCATCCACAGAGGCAATGTGCCTAGTAGTTACAGAGTTTCAGATTGTATCCTGTTTATTACAAAACTTAAAATACCTTCCCTGKGCAATATCCAAAACAGTTTCATTCTACTGCATAATTTGCCTTCATCTCTATAGTCAAGTGTAATCCGTTAGCTTGTGCTGACAATGAGATTCTTTCCCATTTGGTGAAGGTGAGGAACAGCGAAGATCTCATGTTCTCCAAATGCGTACAGCATCTCTCCCCATCATTGTCCAAGCCATTCTCCTCAGGCTTTGAGGTTCAAGTCCTGGTCTGGATACGAGAAAGTTTCATACCCAACCTTGTGGTCTTTTCTTCGGTAGTACATTCGCGTCAACACAGTCATCAGGAAAGTCTCCAGTATAAGGAGGTGGCAATTCATCACTGTAGTGTGAGATGAAATATAACATTGGTTATGCTAAGTTTTAAAGGTGGTAGATATCCCACTTACAGTCTGGTGTCTGAGTTAAGCAAGTTTCTCCCATTTATCCCCACACCAGGACATAGAGATACTGTCATAAGCAACAAAGTAGATTAATGGTAGAACTAGAATCAGACTTGGCTCTCTACCTTCTGTGATCTAATGCTCATACTTATGTGTTAATCAGTATGACCTACATTCAACTCACTCTCATTCCTCTCCCAGGAGTTAGACGTTAAACCCATGGCTTCCTGTATTAGCCATCAGGGCTGGTCTCGAGCTGTGGAACTGCAGTTCTCTGTGTGATTAATGAGGTTAGTCAAAGCCTCTGCCCAGATTTATTGGAGACCKCTTTTCTGAGAAGTCAGGCTGGCCTAACCTCTTGTCCAAGATCTTCTCTTTCCTAATCCTCTCCTATCTCATCCATCTCACAATGGGATAGGAGCCCTTATATGCTTACCTTGAGACCTGGTTTTAGAGGAAAATGGAGGTGAACAAGCAATCTGTCCACCATTGGCCAATATGGAGAAAATGGCAGGCTGCAGGGCAGTCATGATGAGAAGCATCTACAAAACAGAAGAGGGGGGATGGGTGGAAGGGGCTTGCCAGCCAGGTTGCTGAAGCTAGGACTTGTCCTTCCATTATGGTTTTGGCACATCATTAGATCTGTATAGCTAAGRGGGTTGAGATTCACACTTGATGAAATATTTATGGAATTTTAATCTTTAGCAAGTTACAATCTCACCTTCTATCCAATATTTTAATAAGAGTTGCTCACAAGAAACAAGAACTTATTCCCTTATCTTAATAACTGATGGACAGTTGGGGGTAAAAAAAAATCAGAAGAGGTGAATAAATGTGTCTTTCAGAGAATTTTCGGAAGAGGTTTTAAAATAAAGAGGCAGTGTGMTGAAAAGAAGGAATGTGGGCTTGGGAGTTAGACCTGGAGTCTAGCTCCATCCCTCATTTGCCCCTGAGCAAGCCTCATCACACCTATGGGTCTCAGTGCCCTGCTTTGTAAAACAGAAATGTTAATGAGCTCTGGGATTACTGTGAAAAGTTACATGTAATATACATGGTATGGAGTAATTAATAGTTATAGCTGTAATAATGCTACTGTTAGTGGCATTGACAGATTATAAGACTTTAGGAAGTAATTGGTAGAAAAAAATTTAAGGGTTCAATAATACATGTATTATAGGTTGAATTGTGTCTGCCCAAAAGATGTTGAAGTRCTGATCCAGTACCCCAGAGTGTGACATGATAGGGTGATTAGGTAAGAGGAGGTCATAATGGAATAGGGTRGGCCCCTAATCTAATAGGACTGGTGTCATAAAAACAGAAGGGACACTAGACACATGAAGAGAGAGCATCATATGATGGTGGGGGCAGAAACTGGAGTGATGCAGCTGCTGGCCACCATCAGAGAAGAGGAGGACAGGTGCAAGGTTCTCCCTGACAGGTTTCAGAGGAGTGTGGCCCTGCTGACACATTGATTTTGGACTTCTGGCCTCCAGAACCCTGAGACAATACATTTCTGTTGTTTTAAGCCACCTGTTTGTGGTATTTTGTTATAGCTACCCTAAGAGACTRCTACAGCACAGAAAGGTATAAAATAAGGAGGGGAGGGGCTGGGGTTATGGCTCAGTGGTAGATCACTTGCCTAGCACATGTGAGGCACTGGGTTTGATCCTCAGCACCATATAAAAATAAAATAAAGGTATTAAAATGTATTAAAATAAAAAAGGAGGGGAAAGACCACAGTTTAAGAGGATCCCACAGGGAACCCACAGTTTAAGAGGAAGATCCTCAGTGCTGCTTTTAGCCTGTAGTCTCACCTCCTAACCCCAATCATCTGTAGACAGGAGGATCAAGAGTTCAAAGCCAGCCTCAAATATTTTTCCCTCCCCAAGGCATAGTTACCTGGAAAAGAACAAATTTGGCTCCCATGTTCTGCTCACCCAGGTGCAGCTTAGCTTGACGGAAAAGGATGGCCAGGGCCCAGAGAGCCATCAAGGTGGACACACCAAGTAAAGTGTTGATCCATAAAGCTGTGCTCTTCTCAGAAATCTGTTGGCAGACCAGAAAGTAGTCAGTGGGGGAGGCAAGCTTTTTTCTCCTTTTATTTCTCCCCTCCCATGTCAGGAAAGTTGTTTAAAAGCCCAAAKCCTTGGCCTATTCCAGTCTCATCTCTCCCTCTCAGATCCCTGAGCCTCTACTTTTACACAGCCATCCTGACCCTGAGGCCCTGTGTCAGGGGATGCTGGCTCCAGCTATTTCTAGAGCTCAAGAGTACTAAATGAGTCTYGGACTTTGCTACCCCCTTACTCCTGGCTTACATCTGCTGGATCATAGATGCCATCAGGGATGAGGAACAGTCCCACCAGGCTCAGTGTTATCTTGAAGAAGGCATATTGGAAAGGGCCCAATATTAGCAGCTGAAGCTTCTTTCTGAGGAGGGAAGAGGGTTAGGAAGATGAACCCACAAACTACGTACCTCAAGACCTGCCAACTTCCTCACTGGGCTCCAGGGCTGAAGCTAGACAGATGACACAGATATAAAATGGATGGGGATACAGGAAGAAGCCAGGATTGAGAGCACTGGGAACTCTCCTTGCCTCCCATTTATCTGTAGGCTAGAATTCTGCTTTTTGAGCAAGAATGATCAAAACGCAGTGTTTACCTCAAACTAGTAATCAAAATGGGCAGAAGGGGGCAAGTAAATGGCCCAAAGTCCAGTTCTCTCTCTATGGTTAAAGTTTGTGGAGAAGTGGGCTGAAGTTTAGGAGCCTTCCTTCTTTTTCTGGGGAATGGATGCCCATTGTGGGTCCTGGATGTGGGATGTCCACCCCTTTATCACTGGCTTTGTCCTATACAAGACTAACTTTAAGAACCTTGAAGGAGAGCTACAGAGCCAAAAGAAGCTCTTGAGGGAATGTAGAAAGAGGATGCTCACCTGTTTCAGGATGCCTCTCCCTTCTGCCTTACCTGGTGAGCAAGAGTGGAGGACAGCAGGGGCAGCAACAGCAGCAGGGGCCTGTATGAACCCTCATTGGGGTGTCCTTCAGAGCTCTCAATACTGCCTCCTTACCACCAAAGCCTTCTACCATGACCAACATGAGCAGGTAAAAGCACACAGCATAAAACCTGGGATRGGGGGAGATTGGGATTGCAAGTGGTGTGGTGGGGACAGCAGAGGGGACATCCCTTACTAATAAAGAGAGAAAGGTTATGGGGAGAGTTGGTGTTTACTGAGGGGAAGACCATAGAGGCTGACATTCTGGATTTGTGGCCCAAGAGGAGTGAGAGAGAGGACAGTCAAGAGGACTGGGAAGGTGGGAATCTGGGGACCAGGGGAGAAAAGAGGTGACTGAGGAATTGCCAAAATAAGGCACTCCCTAAATAGACCAGAAAGTTGAGCTTTGAATTAGCATAGATTGGGAAGGGCTGGATTCATAACTGGCATTAAAGAAATGGACTCTGAAGTCCTGGGGAGACGGAAATGCCCAACCAGAGGTGGGGGTGGRGCTGAACACTCACGAGGTTATGGCCATCTCCACAAGCATGAGGGAACGAGGGATCCAGAGACCAAAGCAACAGAACACAGACACTACCTGTTTGCAGAGGAGCAAGAACAGGTTAGGGCAGGGAGGGACATATCTCCAACCTATTGTGACAAGGCCTCAAGGAAGCAAGACATATATACATTTTAGGTGCCAGTCCTTAAAAATTGCTGCTGGGGGGGCTTGARGGTATGCTCAGCAGTGAGTATGCCTAGAATTTACAAGGCCCTTGGTTCCATCCCATCACACAAAGTTGCAGCTGGAAAAATAAGGACCAATATAACTGGGTACAGTGGCGCACGMCTATAATCCCAGTGGCTTGGGAGGCTGAGGCAGGATYGAGAGTTCAAAGCCAGCCTCAGCAAAAGCAAGGYGCTAAGCAACTGAGACCCTGTCTCTAAATAAAATACAAAATAGGGCTGGGGATGTGGCTCAGTGGTTGAGTGCCCTTGAGTTCAATCCCTCGTTTAAAAAAAATATACACACACACACACACACACACAACAACAACAAAAGACATTCTCTCAACTTAGCAAGACACTCAAAGCTAAAAATAAAAAAGGACTGGGGATGTAGCTCAATGATAAAGTGACCTTGATTAAAGCCCCAGTAACAAAAAAAAGAATTGTCTATTGGCTTTCCCAGTCAGGGGAGCTCAGATTATATCCCCCTCCCCACAGGTAGTGGCAGGCAACTCTCTGCTGACGGGAAGTGTTCATTTAAAGAAATTTTCAAAATGATCCCTTTCTCCTTTCCAGTCCCTCCCAAAGGGCAGCTAAAGGGCCCTCACCGTGGGTGCAGAGCTGCTCCAGAGTAGAGTCCTYCTCTTGATGGGGCAATGGGTGTTCTTGTACAGATAGACAGCATCCTCCAGGAAGATGGCAATTGAACCCAGGGAAAGAGAGGTCATGATGGCCAGGAGGGTAATTTCCACAGGGCCCGATGCTAGAGTAGAAGGGGAAGGTAGATTCTAGTGAGTTTGAGAGAGGAATTTGGGGATATGGAGAAAAAARRWWACACTGAGTCTCAAAAAAGAAGCACCCACTAACTAAGTGTAAGATCTGACCATGAACCCTTGGAATGCAAAACAAGCAACTGTGAGCAACCCAGTCCATGTCCTTGGACACTAAAAGTAAAACATTGYTAGAGCAATATAATCGCAGGGAAAACTGACATAAAATGCATAGCTGCCCTGATTCTACCTCTAGTTCCAGCCCCTTGGTACTGTCTCTCTATAAATATAATTACCTCAGACCAAGGGGTTGCTGCTTCTTGCTCTCAAAATGGCCCCCATTCTTCCTTGAATGTGTCTCTGCTTTCCTAAATTAAACTGTCTATGCCTCTGACACATCCTTAAATTCATTTCTGCAATATCAAGAACCCCACTCATCCTGAGTTGAGGTCCCCCTCTCAGGAACTCCTTAGATCTCCTCTGGCGACAAGCTGAAGACTGAATACTGCTCCAATAGTCGCTGTGAGTTAACATTAACACTGGTTTTGCTCCTTTATTAAGAAGGGATTTGGGGCTGGGGCTGGGACTCAGTGGTAGAGCGTTTGCCTTGCATGTGCGAGACCCTGGGTTCAATCCTCAGCACCACATAAAAATAAAAAGTGAAATAAAGGTATTGTGTCCAACTACAACTAAAATATATATAAATTTTTTTTTAAAAAAAGGGGATTTGACTGGGGATGTAAAATCAGTGGTAAAGTTCTTGCTTAGCTCAAGGCCCTGGGTTCTTTGCACAGCACCATCCAAAAAAGAAAGACTTTGACTTTTTGTCCTTGAAATTTTTAACTAATTTTAATGGACAAAATTTGTAGATATATGGTATAAACATATTTTTATAAATCTTTGCATTGTGGAATGGTGAAATCAATCTAATACATTCAACACCTCATGTATTTATATTTTGTTATGGTGAGAACATTTAAAATTTATTCTCAGCAATTTTCAAGATATAATACATTTTTATTATTTATAATCACCATGTTATACAACAGATCTCTTGAATTTATTCCTCATATCTGAAATTTTGTATACTTTGACCAATATCTCTCTAATACTCCACTCTCTGCCCAATTATTTTTCAGATTTCACATTTGAGATCTTTTTTCTTTCTGTGCCCGACTTATTTCTGTTAATATAATGTTCTCCATGTTGTTGCTGACATGATTTTATTGTGTAAAGACACCACATTTCCTTTATCTATTCATCTATTGGTGGACACTAGATTGATTCCAAATCTGGGTTCTTATGAATAGAGCTGCAATAAACACAGAGGTGCATCTTCCTTGAAACTTTTTTCCCCCCAGTACCAGGGATTGAACCCACTAAGCACTTAACCACTAAGCCACATTCCCAGTCCTTTTTATTCTGGCTTTTCTTGAATTTGTTTTTTAAATTTTTGTGTAGTTGTACAYAATGCCTTTATTTTATTTATTTTTATGTAGTGCTAAGGATAAAACCCAGAGCCTTACACGTGCTAGGCAAGTGCTCTGCCACTGAGCTATAGCCCCACCCCACCCCCTTTTTTTGGAAACCTTTGAAAAACAAAGATGACAGGATTTTTCTTTATTTTGGGGCAGGGAATTGAACTCGGGGGCACTCGGCCACTGAGCCACATCCCCAGCCCTATTTTGTATTTTAGAGACAGGGTCTCACTGAGTTGCCTAGCGCCTTGCTTTTGCTGAGGCTGGCTTTGAACTCACAATCCTCCTGTCTTAGCCTCCCAAGCTGCTGGAATTACAGGCTTGCACCACTGCACCCAGCACAACAGAGAATTTTTTTACGTAATTCTTCTGTTATGCAACTGTGTGTGTGTGTGTGAATAAAATGATCATGAACATACGCATAAAGCCTACCATACATCAAAATAATTCTGGATGGGTTAAGGAGATAAGTCTTTAAAATTAAATAGGGAAAATAGAAAAAGAATAGAATTTTATTTTCATTAAAATTTTGAAGAAAGGAAGATCATCCCAAGCATTACAGAAATACAAGAAATCACAAATAGAATGATGGTCAAATTCAATGCAAAAACGTAAAACTCTGGGATGGGGATAAAAAAAGGCAACAAACTGGAGGACTTTTTTTTTTTTTCAAGCAGGGGAATTGAACTTAGGGGCACTTTATTACTGAACTACATCCCCAAGCATTTTTATTTTGAGACAGGGTCTTGCCAAGTTGCTCAGGTTGGTCTGAAATTTGCCATCCTCCTGCCTCCACTTCCCGAATAGCTGGAATTACAAATGTGGACTACCATGCTCAGCTGAAGGAAAATGTTTTTAATAAATGTGCAATCAAGTTTAAGATAATTATTATATAAACAAAATTGATAAATACAGGAGGCTTTTGCTGAGAAACTGAAAAATGATATTGACACACTTCAGGGCAATGAGAAAATATTGAACCTGCTGAGTAGCTAGAGAAAAGCAAAATAGTAATGATATATTTTTAGTCTATTACAGGATAATGTTTATAATATTATTGATTAATAGTCTTAAATCAGAAACAACCTAAATATCCAACAATATTGTAATTTTTGAGTAAACTGCCCAATAAAATATTATTCAGTCCATAAAAAAATGTGTGCACACCATAAAAATCTTTGCAAAGTGTGTAATAATATTTTTAAAATTTTTTTTAGTTGTTGATGGACCTTTATTTATTTATTTATTTGTATGCGATGCTGAGAATCAAACCTAGTGTCTCACACATGCTAGGCAAGCACTTTGCCACTGAGCCACAACCCTAGCTCAAATTATTTTCTTTATTATGATTGCATTTTCCTTTCTAAAAAATATTTTTTAGTAGTTTACGGRCCTTTATTTTATTCATTCATTTATATGCAGTGCTGAGAATTGAACCCAGTGCCTCACACATATGAGGCAAGTGCTCTACCACTGAGCCACCATCCCAGCCCTGTAATAATATTTTTAAAAAATATATTAACAGATCTGTATATTTTTGGTCACCTGATTTATGACAAAGGTGCCCACACAGTTTGGTAGTATCTATTAAAACCAGTCATACCTTAGACTTAGCAATTCTATTCCTGGATACATATTCAATAGAATAGAGGACTTATAACCACCACAAAGATGTTCAGAGCAACATTATTCATAATGGTCCCAACTGGAAGCAATGTTTTTCAATAAAAATACAGATAACTGCATGGCAATATATTTTCACAATGGAACATTATGTGGCAATAAAAAGAAACAAATTGCAGAAACACTCAACAAATTAATCTTAAAAACATGAGTTAAGGAAGTCAGAGTACATATTGTCCAATTATATTTTTTAAATATTTTTTAGTAGTAGTTGGACACAATACCTTTATTTTATTTATTTTTATATGGTGCTGAGGATTGAACCCAGGGCCTCGTATGTGCTAAGTGAGCGCTCTACCCCAGCCCTAGCCCCTGTCCAATTATTTTTATAGCAAGTTGAAGAATGAGAAAATTGATCTATAGAGATGATTAACATTTGACTGTGGGGCTTTGGAGGAATATCAACTAGGAGAAGAACAGAGATCCTTCTGGATGTTGRAGATGTTTTTAATATTTTTCTGGTAGTTGTTACATAGATTTTCACGGGTAAAAATTCATCAGCTACATACTTCTGATCATTGCCCTTTACTATCTGTAAGTTGTGAGTGAAAAAAAAAAACATCAACAAAGGAGAAGTAAAATTACAACTATGTTTAAAGGATTTGGTTGGGGAGAGAGGAATACAAAACAGCTAAAGAGTGGGAAATTAATACTTTATCTTACAAAACAAAGTCAACAACCAGGCCTGGTGGCACATACCTGTAATCCCAGCAGCTCAGCAATGGCAAGGCATTAAGCAACTCAGTGAGACCCAATCTCTAAATAAAATTAAAAAAGGGCTGGGGATATGGTTCAGTGGCCTAGTGCCCTATGTTCAATCTCTGGTACCAAAATAAATAAATAAATAAAAAGTCAACAAATGCCATCCATACTTGACAGAACAAGAAATAAACTATAGATATATTATATGAAGCTATCCATATCCAACTAAAATTATTGACATTCTTATGTGGAGAAAATGGAAAAAGGTTGATGCTAAGTAAAATGAATCCTCATGGAGGCAGCCACTGATGTTGTTCAAAATTAAAACCCCAGGAAAGGATGGTATATAAATATTGGTGATTTGAAGGTAGTGTTAGGTAGGAGTTCAGGGACACTAAGATGGCRGAGAGAGGGTATTAGAAAGAAATCACTAGAGGACAAGAAAAGTTCTGGCCCTGTTTACCATAAATCCCCTCTGAGGTCTAATCACCATGACAGCTTCTGACACAGGTTTAAATTTTAAAATGACCAATGGGGGTAAAGAGGGCAGTATTCTAATTAAGTTTTCTAATGTAACAAATGGAGGGGGTRGATTGGAAAATATTCTAATCAGGTATCATAAGATAACCAATGGGAGCCAATGGGGTAAGGTCTTCAATCAGGTCTGTACAGGGAAAAGAAAACCCCACAGTTCAGGATATAAGACCCTAATTTCCAGATACTGGGGCCTTGACATCTGTCTGTTTCTCTGTCTCTACCTACTCCTAACAGAGTATTATGTCCACCTCCAATAAATCTATACTTTATCTGTTACTTTTGTGTATCTTGCTTAATTCTTTGTTCGGGCCACCAAGGAACTGAATTTCGACTGGACATCCCAATGGTAACAGGAGCAGAGGACTCATCAGCTAAGAGTTAGAAGCAGTTGTCTTTGAGGAAAAAGAAATGAGAATGAATAGGTCAGGAGCTTGCTGATTTTTATTAGTAGTTGTTTTGTACTAGATGACTTTTCAACCATGTTCATGTGTTACATGCTCATGTGTTACATGAACATTCTATCAAAGGATACAATAAAAATTTAAAAAGTCACTGCACAGAAAAATACCTATGATACTTTAAAAAACATTTAGCAATTGTTGTTTTGGAGTGATAACA